CTTTGGCCTTATTTATTTACCATGATGGCTGAATGAAGGTGATCTCTTGAAATAGTCTTTACTTCTGGAAAAGATCCTATGAATATTGTTGAAATGGCAAGTAAGGATTTAGAATATTATATACATTTAATTGATAAACAGCAACAACGTTTGAGAGGCTTGGCTCTAGTTTTGAGTGATGAAGTGAGTAAAATGCTATCAAATTGCATTACCAGCTACCAAGACATTTCCATAAAAAAAGGATCCAATTAATAAATTCATGTGGCAAACTTCATTGTTGTCTTATTTTAGGAAACTGCCAGTTTCTCTACCCCTTACCAAATATTACCCTGAGCAGTCAGCAATATCAATGTCAATAAAAGTCCCTCTACCAAGAAAAACAATTAGGATTCTGAGATGGTCTCAGGAGATTATCAGCATTTTTTTTTTTTTAGCAATAAGGTATTAATGAAGGCATACACACTTTTTAAAATGTACTGTTATTTCACACACAGAATAGTGTAAGCACAAGCTATAGGCATTCAGAAAACAAAAGGTTTATTATACATTTTATTACACCATTCTCTTCATCTAAGTGATCTGGAACCGAACCTACAATATTTCTATCACACAACTTGTAAATTCAATTTAGGGGACATAGGTAAACTTGAAAGAAGAATCCAGTTTTCCTGGGTGTTCTCATTTACATACACAAGCATTGTAGGCTGAACCACACAGCAGCTGTAAAGTCACCTACGAATAGAAAAGAAAAGGTGTTTTGTTTTTCAATGTTCTAAACTTCAAAAGGCTGTATAAAAGGAGGGGGGTACAATTTAGCATGTTCCTTTAAGGCTCCAGTGCTACTTTATCAGGGTTACCTCTTCCATTCTCATCAATTCCATCTGCTCCTTCTGTCCCGGCATGTTAAGCTGCATAGTGGTTTTCACTGTATTATTTTCACACACAGAAAACTCAAGGGCAAAAAAGGAATTCTTCTGTTTACATACATGATTCCAATTCACATTGAACATCAATAGATCTTCAGAAAGTCACAATTCTGGACTTCAGGCTTTCTATGGCTGCTTTGGAATTCAGATTTGATGGGGCAGCTCTTTTCCAACACTATTTTGGAAGCTGTTTTCCAACCCTATTGAAATGAACTGCCTACAGTTTCATCAAGCAAGCTTCCTTCTTTCCATTTCTTCTGTTAGACAGGGGTCATGAGGTGGCTCTTCCTCCTACAGGGTTCCATTACCTTATCATCTCTTTTCATAGAGGAAAATGCTTCTCCTCCTACTCAAATCAGCCTCTTCACTCCTTCTATTCTTAATACTGTTCCCTAGTGACCTCACAATACTTGTTTTATGAAGAGCCTTTCTGTTTCTCCTTATGGCTTCATGCCTCGAAAGGCCCTATCCTTGGTGAGGAAATGCATACTCCAGCACCTCTCATTGTGAAATTCGTCACTGCCCTTGTTCGAATGGCTCTAATTTGTTTCACTTCTTTCACCCTTATTAAGCCTTTCAAACTTCAATGCCTACAAGTTACTTGACCATTTTGTTAAAATGCATTCAGCCATCTGAGACCTCAAGGTCTGTACTTCTATCAAGCCCTTTGGTTTATCTGTTACCCTGGGGAAATAAATTATAAAGCAACCTCATGAAACTTGTAGTTATGTTCAGGAGGCTGAGATCTGAGGATCACAGTTCAAAGCGGGCCTGACCAGGATTGTCCATGAGACTTTTATCTCCAATAAACCACCAAAAAGAGCCAGAAGTGGAGCTGTTACTCAAGTGGTAGGATGATATCCTTTAGCAAAGGAAACTTACAGATAGTACCCTGGTCCTGAGTTCAAGCCCTAGATTGGGGAAATGGGAGACATTTTCAAGAAAAGCAGTAGATTTGATAACACTCATGTAAAGAATGTTATGAGCTGTAGGAATATCTGTGCATAGATAGGAGTGAATTGGGGGAAGGGATGGTGATGCAGCTGATACCTTGAAGGGACAGAACATCCTTCCAGGTAATGTTTTAAAAAATTTAGGGTGCATAAGTCATATGGCAGAGATTGGAAATGGAGTATGTAGGAATGGTAATATTCTCTAACCATTATTAATAATTATATTAATAAAATTATTAATCACTAAATAGCTAATGCTGTTTATCAAGCATTAGAAAATACAGTACCTAACAAAAAAGATTTGTATATTTTCACATGATTTTTTTTTGGTGGGGGGGTTGTGGGGCTTGAACTCTGGGTGTGGGTGTAGCCCTGAACTCTTCAGCTCAAGACAAGCACTCTACCACTTGAACCACAGCGCCACTTCCAGTTTTCTGGTGGAGAGATAAGAGTCTCAGAGACTTTCCTGCCTGTGCTGTCTTCGAACTACAATCCTCAGATCTCAGCCTCCTGAATAGTTAGGATTTTAGGTGTGAGCAACCAGCACCTGGTTTCTCATGATTTTGTATGTTAGCTGACCTCTATGGAGATGATTCATCTAACTGGAATTAACTGCAAGCCATCAGGGGCTGGATGGTCTAGAATGGTCTCAAACAGCAAACTTGCCTTGCTCTGTGCACACTAAATCCTATTGGACTTCTTTTCCAGTCATCGATGTAAGACTTAATGAAGATTTGAATCAGTGTGGTGGTGATATAAGCAGAGTCCTAAGAAAAGGTAAGAAATTTCCTTCTGCTGACTGGTAAGACTGCTAATAGCGTGGAAAATGTGAAGAGTGAGTTGCATTCACATATTTCCTTTTCCTCACTGTATCAAAGTCAGAAATTCAACACATCTTTCTTATTCCACACTCAAAGCTCCAAGGTTCAATGGTCAATTATCACATGATCACACAACAGTTAATAACTGCCAGAATACACACATAGTAAGAATTTTGGACTCCTATGTACCACTTCACTGTTATTCTAATAGGTCTGTCATTTCCTATCCCCTTGCAGGCTGAAAATACTTCAAAGATTGAACTATTTGTCCATTTGGAATTTTTTTCAGTGATTTTCAGAGATTCAAATTTAAAATTTGTAAAAGGTACATTTAAAATCAAATAACATTCATATTATTTCCAGTTTAAACAAAAGCAAATAATGTAATGAAATTCTCAGAGAAACCACATGAATTTTATTGAAATAAAAATTTAAAGACAAAATCCTAGAACCTAAGTTTTTATCCTGAAACATTTAAACACAAAAGATACACATATTAAGTTGCTACAAATATGTAGGCATTACACAATGCACATAATGAAGTCATAAAACAGTTTATACTGCTTTACTATAAATAAATGGAAACTATCAGTTTTTCAAACTCAGATAACAAAGCAGTAACTATCACATTTTAATTTTTTATCATTACATTTTATATTTCTAATATGGATTGGAAAACAGTATTTCTTTCTAATGGCTGGATTTCAAAATCTGTGAGATTTTTTTAAAAGGCAATTCACTCTTTTTGTTTCTTTTAATTGAAAACAATCAAGAATGTTTTTACAGAGAGAAATCTAATGATGCCCTAAAGAATCACTAATAGTTAAGAATAAAAGTGTATAATACCTGAAAATATCAATTCTAAGGCAATGTGAGGTTGTATCAGACATATAAATATAAAAATGACTTGATGGTAAACATATAAAATGCCATTAAAAACGTCACATAAGAATAATGAACAAAGTTGTGAAGGCTGAAGTTTTGGCCCTATAACCTTAAAAATTTCTTTTCCTTTTCTAAAAAAGGAGACCCAATAGCTATTTTAAATTTCTTTAATAATAGCTCAAGTTTTAATTTAGAAATTGTTCTCTATTATGAAATTGAACTCTTATGGGCAGAGCACATTTGTAGAAAAGTATAACAGTAACAAAATTGCCACAAAATTTGTACCCCTAAATTCACTTACAATAATCCCAAGGAGTACTTTAATTAAGAGAATTATACCAGCTAGTAGTGGGAATTTTTCAACTATTCTGATGCCTATGATTTTTGTGCATTTCCCATATATATAATAGTCTTGCCAGTTCTCTAAATAATATTAGTGTTTAAAAGTAGAAATTGCCTAAAGATCAGAGCCCGAAAGGGAAAAACCATGAAGCATAATATATTTAATCAAGTAAAATAGTAGATGTCATTGAACACTTGTATTATGTACATGAATTATGGATCATGTTGCTTATTCCAGATCAGGCATCTATGAGGTTTACTGTAGACGGATATAAGCCGTGTTATGTACAAAGATATTTAAACTTCTTCAATTTTCTGTAGACTTCAAAGTATGTCTTTTATAAACAAAACAGGACAAGGTAAATTTGGCATGCATGTATTACAGAATCAGCAAAATATTAAATTAGCACGAAATAACATGGTGAAGAATTGAAGATATAAGAATATTTTTTTTAAAATGAAGTCACACATAGTTCTACACATGCAAGAAGATACTGTATACTGAACTGTTCCAGTTCACATAGTTTTACTCCAACCTAATCCTTCCCCATACTGCTTTAAGAACTTGATGACATAGTTCACATTTTTTACACATCACTTAGTCTATAAACGTTTGTATATCAGTCAGTTTTTAAAGAAAAATTGTAGCATGTACTGGTATTTTTTTACCTGTTATGTCCATTGTTGATTATCTGTTATCTTTAAAAAAGAATCACAGAGTACTGGGGTATGCATCACTCTCTTTCTCTAATTGTTACCTTCCATAATCTACAATTTGCTATGACTTATGAAGATGAAATGTACATCTGGAGGCGGGTTAAATGAAATCAACCAACAAGGATGATCTTGGAAGTAAGCTTCTGAAATCCATTAATAATGTCTACCAACTCAGATAACAATGCTGTTCGTTTTTTTAAACTTTCATCAAAATTGTGCAAGAGTATAAACTTTTTGTTCATAGATTTGTATGGAGGCACCTCCATTTTGCTGGCATATCACGTCTTCTCCACAGGATCATGACAGGCCTGTTTCTATTCTTCATGTATGTTCTTTTATTCATTTTCCTTTCTTAAAAAAATCAATAAGCTTTAATTATCCTCTGGCTGCCACAGTTTCCAAATTCAATGCAGTAGTAGTTTAAAACACAGCAAGATGAGCACTCCCTTTTCAATCTAAAGCATGACAGTGAAGGACATTCTCTCTAGTCAAAAGATGCCAGTACAGTGCCCAAGTAGAGGCTTTCATGAACTCAAAAGGCTCCAAATCCACAGTCAAGAACCTCAGCAACATCACATAACGAGCCCTGGTTGGAAGGGAGATAATATTGTTTGTCTCAGAAGTTTTTAAACTGTTTCTCATCTGGTAGTTTCCTCTCTGGATTTCTTTGTGGCTGTCATTGTCACTTTTGACAATGTACTTTCAAAAGTCCAAAGGCCGAATCATCATAGTTGTAGAACGTAAGGAGTAGCTGGGCCCTTTGAAATAGTGCCACTTTATTCCATTCAGCTTTCCATGATTTTGTCCAGCAGTATAGAACATCCCATTCAGATTGGAGGGGCCACAAGCATCAAACCACCAGCCTGAAAAAAATTAGTTAATAATGAAAGAGAAGTAGAAGAGACCCGTACAAGTAAGTTGAACATTTGGAAGCTACAGGCATGAATTGACAGAGAACTTTTTCATATTTGTTATCATAATTTGCAAATAGGAAGCATTCAGTAAGCACGTGCCTAATTGCAGAATTGTTCCTAATGACATTGATTTAGGATATATATGACCAGTCAGTCATTAAAAAAATGAAAAACAGTTCTCTGTGAGACTTTGTGGAGTCTGATTCCCATGGCAATTAGGAGACTCTTCAGGACTCTAAGGAACAACCCAAGTCGAGTTGGGTGCTGATGGTTCATGTCTGTAATCTTAGCCATTCAGAAGGCTCAGATCTGAGGACTCTGATTGGAAACAAGCTTGAGCAGGAAAACCTGTGAGACCCTTATTTCCAGTTAATCTCTAAATAAATGGAAGTGGAACTGTGGTTTAAGTGGTAGAACACTAGCCTTGAACAAAAGAATCTAAGGAATATACCCAGGCCCTGAGCTCAAGTTGCAAGAGTCACACACACACACACACACACACACACACACACACACACACACACACACACAATCTAAGTCAGGATGGCATTGAAAATAAGACAAGAAAAATGCAGATACTCATGTGATGCTTCCTACCATTAGCCTTGTTACTGAGAATAGAATAATTATTAGTGAAAAAATCTTAGATACTTCCATATAGTAAAGAAACAATGATAGTTTCCTTTGGCTTTGAGAGTTTGTCAAGAACTGGGCCTAACCTACTTCTAAAATAAATTGGTCTTTGCTATTAGACTATAGTGCTCATTTTAGTTACTCTTTTCTCTGTAATGTATAGCCATACAGGAAAAGTTTGGTATTAGTAGTTCACAAATAGCTATATTTTGTCTACAACTGCTAAACTTTTTTCTAAGTTTAGGAAAAGGAAAACAAACAGCTTAATGAGTAACATGAAAATCCTGGGTTTGCATAATGATAAAGATAATTGTATAACTTGGATTTGTTTCTTTTAATGAATTAAAGTCTTGGGATTTTTTTTTCCAGATAGAACATACCACTTTTCTCTCTCTCCTCAAGTAACACTACTGAACTCTTTAGGGAGAGATTTATTCCAGAGACATTCTGGCATATTTTTATTTGGACATGGTTGACTTCCTTTTGATTACAGAGCTATACCTAAGGGACTAATAGCCAAAGAAAGAGAAAACTGTGCAGTTGATGTTTGACTGTAACATGAGCGTCATCTTGCAGAACTTAGGAAAAGTTAAACAGAGAAAAGCTAGTTCACATTTTTCAACATTGGGAGAAGAGTATAACTGCTTTGTGTTTATAAGGTCACATTAGATACTTAATTAGTGGCATTGATCACCAGCTCATACTGGGAGAAGATACTGTGAGGGTCAGTGGCTGGATCTGGGGTTTTAACTCAAGGCCTAGCCACTATCCTTGATTTTCTTTTGCTTGAGGCTAGCACTGTGCCATTTGAGTTACAGCTGTACTTTAGTCTTTTTGGTAATTTTATTGGAGGTAATTTTCACAGACTTTCCTGCCCAGGCTGGCTTTGACCCTCCTTCCACAGACCTCATCTTCTTGAGGAGCTGGGATTACAGGTGTGAGCTAGTGGCACCCAGCTGCTCTTACCTTTGCACATTTCTCCTGTGTTGTTGAGGCACACATGAGCAAATCTTTCGCTGCATTTCCATATCCTTCATTCACAGAAGCAAATTCATTTACTTTATTAATAAGCACAGTGAAGATTCATAGAATGCTCATCATCATCACATTTGGACACTAAGAATAACTTGTGTTATACCCAGTTTATAAAAGGTCACAAGTGGGCACTTGTATATGTCTAGGATAATTTTAGCAGATGTGCAGAATCTTTCAATAGCTATTTACATATGACCACATAAGATGATGCTATGTGAAATGAACTCCAAGACATGGACACAAAAGGTTTTCCTTTGTTTTTGTTTTTATTTTACTATGTGATGTCATGTTTCTTTTGTTATTTTCCCCTATGGTTTATCCCTGCTGTCACTGTATTTGATTTTGGTCCCCTGGGTAATATATATATATATATATATATATATATATATATATATATATATATGAATTATGGAAGGGAAGTGGAACATTAAAATAGTGAGACAAAAGACAACGGGGAACCAATGCAATACTCACAAGACAATGTGTTGTAAATGATCTGTATAACTTGGGGGAAGGTGGAGGGGGGAAAGTGGGAGAAAAATGAGCGAGGGGGTAACAATGTTTGACAAGAAATGTACTTATTACCTTACTTGTATAACTGTAACCCCTCTGTGCATCATCTTGACAATAAAAAAATAGAAAAGGCAGAGCAAGAGACTGGCAAGAAAGGGCACACAGTTAAGCATACTGTCAATGACCACTTCGGATGAGTTTAGGAAAGAGCCTAGTAGTAGACTGTGAGAAAACAAGATAAATCAATCCTGTGTTTCTTTTCTAATGAGGAAACAGCAATGTTCACAGCCAGGCTGGCATTTTAGAGACACTGAAAGACGGCACTAGTGCTGGCTGAGCATCATTTAAGAGAAACAATTCTACTGAAGCTGAGAGGGTTTGAAGACAAAATAAGGAGTCTTTTGTTCATTTTTCATTTTTTTGTTCATAAAAATAACCCATTCTACACACTTACTACTACATTTAATGGAGACTGCTCAGCAAATGGTTAGGACTACAGGCTTATTGACTGCGTCTCTGAGTGGCTGGCTCCTTTTTAAGAAGTTTCTTAGTTAAAAGTTTTTCCCCCCCCTGTCTTTTACTTTTATTTATTTTTCTTTTTTTATTATGAAAATACTGTACAGAGGAGTTACAATTACATGGGCAAGATAATGAGCACAATTCTTATCAAGCATTGTAGCCTCCTCCTTTGTTTCTCCTTCCCATCCCTTCCCATCTCCACCGACCCCCACCCAATCCTCCCCGGCCCGCCCCCCCCCAACACGAAAGTTGTAAAGTTCGTTTTCGACATAACGACTTGTACATCTTAGTTAAAAGTTTTTATTTAGGAGATATGTCAACAACATAATGCCTCTACATATCAGAGCCACTTTTTCTTTCCTTATCCCCTCAGAGGTTTGTATATAACACTCTGCAGGGCATGCATGGTTTCTGCCCTTGTGGAAATTATGTCCGGTGTTGGAAGTGGATGAAAAAAATGCAGCCATTAGCCTTCATCAAAATAGGTATAATTCAGGACCAAATAATTGCATGAAGAAAAGAGGGAACCATAAAGGAATAACATAAGAAGCTGATATGTAATGAGTCTTGAAGGAGAAGCCAAATAAAGACAGAGAGAGCCTCTTCAAGCGCAATATAGCCTTGGGAAGGAGAAAGGGCTTGGTATACATAGGGAGGAGAAGAACCTCCCTGTGGTTGGTTCATAATGAACTAAGGGAGACTTTCAAGAAATGAAGGTAGAGAAACAGACAGCTGTGGAAAGCTGCACAGTGCTTGTAAAAAGAATTTATAGTTTAGCCAGGCTACTTGTCCATCATCAGGTGAACAAGTAAAACATTGTCTAGGAATGACAACCAATATTTAACCAGGGGAACCACATCTGCCAGGTTAAATGTTTAATCAAATATATAGAGCTTTTGTTCTGTATTGCCTGCCAAAACCATCTTGAGCATATGTGCCAGCATGATGGTTGGAGAACAGTCTAGAATTCCCTCAACATGCATTGACCATGACTCTGTGGCATGTGTCATTTTGTGAAAACCTATGCAAAACTAGAGAATAGCCATCAACAAAGAGTTTTAAAATTACAGAAATAAGGAATCAGAAGGCTTTAACATTCTGAGAAGTGGCACTGGGTCTGGAAGTTTAGGTATGAGTTCAATGGACAAAAAGAGTTTCTAAATGTAATGTGTACCTTGGAAGAGCAAAAGAGAATATTTGTAAGTAGCTCAGCTTGGTTGGAGAGTCAGTGGAAAAGGGATAGAAAGGTTTATATTATACTTTTAGAGTTTTTCTTTAAATGAACAATGGGAAGCTAATAAAGCCCTAGATGGATGCTGACTTGATCCGTCAATAAGCAACAGATCTTAGGCAATTATACCAATTTTATTTAATATTTAATATTTAGTACAAACTTAATATATGCCAGGGACTGTGTGAATGTATTTATGTGCATATCTTCACAGATCTGTGTACCTTTGTCCTTCCCTTACACACAGCCTTATGTAATATAGCAAGAACCATAACAGACTTTAATGTTCAGTTTTAAGAACATTTCCAAGATCACTTTCATAATGTGTGAATCATAATGTTGGGTCAGCTATTTGCATGGCAGTTAGAAACTAATAAGATGAGGTACTAATGATGGAAGTTTGTGAAAGACTAGCAAAGAACTTGTTGTAACTTTGCAATGGGGCAGAAAGCTATAGGGTAGGATGTAAAAATGAGAGATGGTTACTCTACCACAATGGTTCATTTCTGGAAAAAAAGGACTCACTATAATGGTTTGGTATTGCAGAACAATCATCAGTTCTGACACATTCTCAGTAAGGTCTACAGGAGAAATATTAAGAAAATTTAGATGTGGGTATGGATGCTCATTCTTACATTAGAAAATAACACTGAACTTCATAACCAAATGTAGAGTGGATGTTTCAGTGTTTTGTGTTTATTTTATGAGGATTTGGATCTTGAACTGTTCAGTGATCCCTATATCTTAAGAACACTGTTTTGTGTATTCCACAGTTGATTATAAATCAACTGATGATTACAAAGACGTTGACGAGAAGATGGCAAAAATATAACCCAGCAATTATTTCTCATGATAACTTTGGTTCCTTGAATTCCAAACTTCAAGGTAGCAGAAACAGTTCTACCATGCAGGTAAGTATTCTCTTTTCTGCATATGCACTTAAACAAACTAGACAGGCACAGAATTGCTTTGTATCATATATTTCAAATAGTGTTTCCTCTGTCAACAACAGAAATAT